CCGCCGCCGCCACCGCCACTGCCACCGCCACCCCCGCCGCCGCCGCCGCCGCCACCACCACCACCACCACCACCACCACTGCGGCCCCCGCCGCCACGGCGGCCCCAACCACCACCGCCGCAGCCACCAGCACCACAACCATCATAACCACCACAACCGCCGCAACAGCCACAACTACCACAAACGCCACAACCACCACAATCACCACAACCACCAACGACGACAACCCATTATTGCTACTGTGGATGCTGTGCTGGTTGTTACTGCCACCTGGACGAAACGAAAAAGACTTACGTGGTTTTCTTGTTCCAGACTTACTCGATTCTTGCCGCGACGCAGGGTGAGGGTGGGAATGGTGCTAATATCTTCGATCTCCAGCATGGGGAATGTAACTAATGCACTAGTGCGCCAGACCACAAGATCCGGACTCTGCCGAAGTGGATGAGTTCGAGGAGGAGTCCTTTTCTGACAGACCCGCTGCCATGGACTGAGTAGTATCCTTGAGTTCAGTGCAGCATGTAGAGGACGATATGTATGTTCGAGCAGACCAACTGTGCAGCTGGCCTGTTTTGCAGTTTGGCTATTTTTGACAGTCCTCGACACCTCGCTATTGTGCTGGGTCCGCTGCAGACAAATGGAGCTGCTCACCTGGTTTCACACCAACGCCATCACCAGCATCTGCCCCATTGGCTCCGGATTGCAGGTTCCGTTTGCAGAGCACCGCCATTGCTTAACCATGCGGGTGCATCGGTAGGTCTGTGCCAGCGCGGACGAAGGTGGTCGGCTACGGTTTTGGCAGGCTGGTCCCCCTACCATCCCCTACCACACTGCCTGCAGAACATTGAAGAGTATCCGGTCAAGGTTGCTCGCGGAGAAGACCCGAAGGGTTTCCGAGTGCTGCGATTCGCCTCCGCTTTGACAAGTCTCACTGTGGAATCCAGAGGGAAATTTCTTTTGGCGAGTAATTCCCCCAGCTTTTTTCCAACTACAGCAGGTAAGCTTCAGCGGGACCTAATTGACTGCACTGATTCTGCTCGTGCTGAGGTACGGATGCGGGATGTATTCATGCTGTTTCATGCGATCCATGGTCTGAAGCCCAAGTCGCAGTCTGAGACGGAATGCGTTCGGAGCAAAGTCTCCGAGTTGGGGTTGGCCCTGAAGAATTTTCAGCTCAGGTGATCGACACCCAACGCATTAGCGAAGTTGGAATCGCGAAGATATGCTGTATGACTTCAGAGGACCAAGTTGCTAATGTGAGGGAATGAAAGCAGAGTCCCAGCAGTGGGGGCAGCCAGGACGGCTTGGCACTTAAAGTGGCCGCCCTGCTCTTCGACGGCAGGCGCGAAGTGCCCTAGAGACCTGCGGGGTTGAGATCCGAAGAGTTGCCGAACGGTCGCATGGCATCTGAATTCTCACGGCTAGTGCATCTTTGACGCGGGTGGGAGGTTGTCTGAAACCTGCACAGCCGCAGGATAGCCATGGTCTCTTTCTCGCTACGGGATCCCAAGGCATCCTAGCTGCAGTTGAGGATGCTCCCCTGAGTAGGCAAGTTGCCTTTGTTATCCAAGGTGAAAATGTTGGGATTGGTTGAGAACTTGGGCATGGTGGAAGACATTTGCTTCCATGATCAGGCAGCGGGCCCAGCAATCAGACGACACACGATATCAACTAATGATCAGATTTCTTGCATCAAGCTGCTCTCGGAAAAGATCCGCTTATTTGCTTACATTTTCTCGATTTGCCTCCACGAAGCCGTGCCTTGCACCTGTCAAGGACAAAAGTGAGGACTTGAGTATGCCCGGGAAGCTCTTAGCGGTCGGCTACAATGCAGATGCGCCCCTCCCAGTTGATTTCCGCTTCCAGAAATCGGAAGCAAAGATGCGCCTGACTTTCAGGCATCCTGCATGTGGGCGATCAGATCGTGTTGCCCCCGAGATCCACGAGCAGTGGTCTTCACTCCTTGACTTAAGCCCAACATCCTTGCCAGGTTAAAGGAGGGTTTCGAGCCGCGAGACCTGACGATTCCGCGCGAGGCGCCTGAGCCCCGCAGCCTGGAAAAGTCGAACTGGCTTGAAGCCTGTGGAGGCGTGCCAGTTGTGGTCGACGAAGCTCACCTCAGACACAGGGCTGGCGGAGGGACGACCTACCGCGGTGAGCTCGCTCTCAAAGTGCGCCAGCCCTTCTACGTTGACCTGGAAGCAAAGAAATACTGTGACAGGAACGAAGTAGCCGTGGGCTTCGCAAATGGCGCAGCAAGACCCTTGAAGACATGACCGAAGAACTTGTATCCGTGTACGGTTTTCCTTTGCCCTCACAGGTCAAGATCTTTGCAGTGCGCTTGCCTCAGAAGCCCAGTGTGCAAACAGGCACAGAGATACCTTCATCCTGCTGCCTTCGATTTTGATGCATGTCTGAAGGCCGTCCCACCCTGGGCTGATCCTGAAAGCGGCGCCCGCCGTACCGCAGCGGAGCCCTGTGACTGAGCATCGTTGTTGCTTTCTTAAACAGCTTGTGTTGCCGCAGCGTCTAGGATCCAAGACCTGTCCAAGGCCTTCTGCAACCTGGCATCCATCACCTCATCACAAGTCTGCAGTTGGCGGCCTAGTTCCCAGCGCAGCGTGGCACAGGCATCAACTTTTCTCTGCCCAGGCCAAACCTCAGCGCAACTATCCTGACGGTGGGGTCAATGGCTGCTGCCTCGGTTTGGTGTCCGAATTCCAAGCGAGTGTGTGTCTTGGAAGACCTGAGAAAGGATGGGACAGTGCTGAAGCTAGGCGCGCTTCAGATTGGAATGCCTGATGATAAATCAGCAACGTCTCGAGCCATCTGGGTTCAGTATGATAGTTCTGTGGCTGTAATGGGACCGCACAAATGACGCCAAGCCGAATGCTGTTTTTTCAAGCCACGTGGCCGAAAAGTCCAAATGTCTCGAAAGGTCACCAGAGAGTCAAAAAGCAAACCCATGATCCGACAAGTCGGAACAAGCGTGGAAAGTCCGCCAAAACAACGAAGAGCACCCAAAGATTCAACCTGCGAAACGTCGTGAAATTGAACAAGTCTGGTAAAGCCCAGAACCTGAAAGATTTGGCCAGGATGCGAGAAGTCAAAAAGCTTGAAGTTGGAAGCGCACAACAAATTCTCGAAAGCTGAAACGATAAGCGAAAGCTCGATTTAGATCATTACGACACTTTTCACGAGCGGGATGTTGGAAACGTCAGATGATGATGCCAGGCCTTCCAGAAGCTGAGCTCTCAGCTTGCAAGGATTTAAGAAGCAACTGGTGGACTTTCGACAAATTCAGGGAAATGAGCTCCTCTGCAAGACGCTCCACAACCCTTACAATGGGGGCACCGCGCAGGCACGTATACAGTCAGCACCTATTGCTGCCCCCTTTTTGCTAAAGCTTCTGGTAGGCTGCCTGCAGCCGTGATGGCCCGCACCTCAGGGCACTGCGGCAAGCTATAAGCAGATAGAGTGTTATGTGACGCGAGGAACTGTGACGATGACCACAGGCGGTACTGCGTGATGCTTAGCCACTACAGTCACTACAGCGGCAGGGCTAACGCCGCTGCGCAACAATCTTTACATTCCTAAGGATGGCATCATCGTTTGGAGCGAGCCTGGTTCCGGCATAACACTTACACCTGCCCCGACCTTGTTCACACATCACGCAAGAGCCGCTGCAACCTGCGAAAGTCACACTACTCAGGACGATTCCCACCTCAACGTTGAGGAAGTGGAAGGCTCAGGCTCATGCATCACAGGCATGACTACGTCAGGTCCCCGCTTGCCTAAATACTGCAAGTGCAAGGAAGATGGCTTTGGTGATGCGTCGCCTGGAAGTTTTGCCTTGGAGTCATGCCGGCATGTCATGTACGGTCTTGCTTGCAGACTCTTGTTGGCTCCGTAGGCAAGGCTTTGGGCTAGCCACGGGTGGAACTGGGCAGGTTGGATGACACGGACATCAATGCCTTTCCTGCATGGGCTCCGCCAGCAGCAGGCCAGATAAGAGGTGCTTACCTTTCAACAGCTCAACGTACCTGGTTGGTCATGCAACGTTGTACAGGCGGCGACGTCGCCGCGGGAGATGACGAGGCACTGTGAGAACAGTCTCAGTCTAGAATGAGTACAGGTGTCCAGTAGAATACTTGCCTCAGTCGGGGACAAGGGCAACGGTTAGATGATCAGTCGTTGGATCTTGTTGGATGTGATGGCTTCGAAGCTGGCATGCCTGGCACCGTGCTTCGCCAGGAGGTTGAGCTGTCCGCGCCAGACTCAGCTGTTGCCTCCGACAGGAATCTCTTGCTGCACATGCTGCGCCAGTATCTGGAAGTCTCGTTCACTCGAGGAAGAGGCAGCCACAAAGAGGAAGCTAATGGCACATGAGGCCCGTGTAGACTCGTAGCTACATCCGTGTAGAAGTGCCCATGCATGATTTAAGTGCCACGCAGACAGTGTTCGGCATGCACTGCAGTACTTTTCGTGCATGCTTGTGCCTGCAGATCGAAGCCCTTCGCAAGAAGCTGCGAATCCTTGTAGACCACAATGCAAACGCACCGGATCTTGAGAAGTGCGAGCCCTGGATGTGTGCTACATAGCTAGCTAGTCAAAAAGTCTTCACCGGTCATCAGCTGGAGCTGAAAAGCTGAGCACAGAAAACGGCTAGCGGCTAGCGTGTTCCGGAGCAAAACTTTGGAGACACCATAAGCCACCCATAGCTGCATGACTTTCCGTTTAATGTCCACAACAGCGCTTTGCTTTCTAAGGCTTGACCGCAGCGAGTTTTGCGTTGACTTCGAGGAGCGATTCGCCATCGCCTCCAAGACGAAGGATTGGGAAACTGGCTTGCTGTCGCTGGCTTGGGGAACTCCGTTGGCTGCTGCCACGTACTGCAATGGTGAGGGACGGCGTGGCGTCTGCAGGAGCGCTGTGACGAGCTGCGTGCTGACATAGAGCACCAAAACGTGGCGAGGCATGGAAAAGTTGCTCTTTCGGGAGCTGCTTCTGATATCAACCAGTGTTTTTCGGTACTCGGCAGTTAAACTAGCCTCCAGAAGAACTCTACCGAGAGTTTGTCCACTGCGCATACCCAGAGGCAGCTTGTCCGGGACAGGCTCATCAAGGAGTGCTTCTCTGAGTTGTGGATACTCAGAAGTCAGCTTGTATGGGCTCAACTTGGAAATCCTAAAGCTCCCGGCGCTGAGGTTCTGGGATCCAATGCGTGGCAAAGGCTGCCAGATTACGTCACTGACTTCCAACCTGGCAGTCTCCAACTATCCCGAGCGGACAGTCAGCGAGGCGAAGACTAAAATCACAAGTCTTTGGGTCCAAAAATTGGAGGCAAGTTGGTTGGAGCTGCATCCTGCCCCGTTGGATTCGCACACACAACAAGTGCCAGCTACGGCCACGTTGCAGATCTTCTTCATGTATTACAACTACATTTAGGTGCTTGAAAAATCAGGTAAATGCAGTAATTCTGATTGTTCCACATCCAGTCCAGGCTTTCAAGGAGTACCTTTACTCCAGTCTGTTCTGCAGCTTCGACAGGAAGAAAGCACAGTGACGCGCAAGCTGCGAATGCTCCGCCGTAGTGAGCAGCTGGAGCTTCAAATGCGCTGCCCTCAGCTTCGGGTCTTACTTAGATTTGCAGCTTAGCTTGGCTGCGAAGGGAAAGGCTCAGTTGCGCCTCAATGCCCACTACCTTCTGTGCAGGATTGTGCAGGCTTGTTTCCGCCGAGGCTTCGTGGGAGCTGCCCACCCGAACTGAAGAATGACATGGTGTTGGACGAGGATTCCTTCACGACAGGCCAGTGCCCGGCCTCTTCAATGCAACATTTTCTTAGGAACATTCCCTCCCTCCAAGGCCGGGAGCAGTACATCGTGAATTGGTGGCCAGCCAAAAACACCAAGGCGGCTGTGGGGGGTCTGGAGATGTGGCTGATCAACCCATGTGGGGGCACTTCTCCTTTAAACGGTGGCTTTTCAGGGATAAGGAAAAGCGTGTCGTGTCAATTGTCATCACGCAGATCCAGGAAGCCATGGGATTTCCTGGCAGCAGAGATTAACCGCGCCTCCAACACCGCAACAATAACAATTTGATTTTGCAGATTTAGAAGCCTGTCTTGGCGCATGCGAGAATATTGGCAGAATATCAAAGACAAGAGCTCCTAACAAAAGTTTGCCTACCTTATACTTCTGCTTATGTATCTGAACACAGCTGGCTCATCATGACGACATCATACATGAGGTGCACCAACATGTTGCAGTGAGCTTTCAGGCTGCCGAGGCGCGGGCAAAGCAGCTCGCAGAGATTGAGGCGCAGGCAAAGCAAGCAGCTCAGAAGCTTGGCTCGCAAAATTAGGCTTGTGCCTGCCGATTGTCATAATCATAAGCTTCCAGCCTGTGTGGACGTTTCTTTGAATTTCATTGTAGCAGACATACTCTGCTGACTTGTTTGAGCATTCCTCGCTTTGGTCACCAATCATGGGATGTGTTGTGGCACTGCTCAGTCAGGAAGTCAGGAACGCTCCTAACCTTTTGTCTCATTGATCTTGCAGAAGCTGAGGGAGAGAAAAGCTGCAGCCCGAAGCTCAAGGGGTGACTGCAAGTTGGAATGATCACAGATTCTGGGTACGTTTGCAGCATGCTGACAAACCAAAAAGCGTCTCACTGACTTTGAAAAGCAAAGGCAGAGAAAGAAGCAGAAAAGCAGAAGGAGACCGGAAGAGCACTTCAGAAAACCCGGGATATTGGTATTGACACTACGTACTCTCGTATCGTGTGCACAAGGGTCTGACGTAGCAGCCCAGCCTTGGTGTGCGTTGGCCATTCAGTGGTAGCGAGGAGAAAGATGCCAAAGCAGCAAAGGAAGGCAGGGAGAAGTCCGAAGAAGCTGGAGGCCAGTCCCGCCTGTTTGGAGTTGGCTGGCTTGAGTCTAACAGATCCGTCCAGAGGCGTCAAGCCTGCCGACGACACGGGAGGAGGAACCAGCGCTGATTCTGTCCTGAGCCTACAATCACAGAGAAGCCTGTCACTGCATATCAAGCATTTCCACATGCCCCTTCGGCACCAAGATTGTCGCTGAAGAGCAGCAGTATATGTACGAGCCCTTCGAGCTCGTCACAAATTCCCGGCGACGACTGCAGGCTAGGCGGCTAGGTCCAACCGGTAGCTCTTCGTCCTATCTTCGGGGCAGATGGAAGACAGCACTCCGGCAGATCCACCTGCTGCAATCCCTGTCGGCGGATTATCGCTTGCACTTCAACGAGCTCTTCAAGGCCTTCATCGAATGCCAGGGTGAAGAGTAGGGAGCCCGTGGAAATCTGGTAGGCATGCCAAAGCGACAAAAAGAACATCATCGCACGAAGCCCAGGGTTGCCGTAGCTATTTGCATGGGTCGGGATGGTGCTGGGTTTGCTGACTAAGTCAGGATGGGATCAAGGAAAAGTGCAGCCGCATACGGCAAATTCTTGGAGCGCCTTGGCAACCTAGTCCTGCCGCACAGACTGTTAACTGCTATATGGGCACCCATATGTTACAAGCTCCCATCGTCCAACGACTGAGGAACTTCAGATTGAGGAGGAGGTTCCTGAACCAACCTTGCACGAGGTCGAAGATGCCGATTCCGTTCTGAAGGTTAAGGACCGTCGCCCATCTTACTACACAGGCTGCTTGCCCCTGCAACTGCCATCCATATTGAGAGGACCATGAGATAACTGTTGAGAAGTGGATCTCGCCGGAAGAGCAGCTTGTCTTCATCATCTCTTTCTGGATGCCCTTTCCTGCCAGATCATGTGAGCTGAGCAAAGGAAGAAAGCATTGGAAGAGGCTGCAGCGAAAGAAGAGGTGTCCCACACTCACATGTTCCGATGAAGTACGTAGCCTTATTTGACACGTATGTCAACATTTGTGCGACAGGCAGTGGTATGCTGTTAGCAGTCGCCGGCAAGGCTTCTAGCATGATCCGTAAATACAGGAGCGCTTGCGACAGCTCCGAGAAAACGATGCTGGCCAGCGCGCATTGGCGGGATGCCTTGACAAATCCAACCTACTCACTCATTGCATACTGCCGTAATCTCTGCTGCATCCAGCAAATGACATCTTGAGCGCTTTGGGGCTTCAGGTGCAAATGATGGGCGGGACACTCAAGACGAAGAAGGCCGGGTGACTCTGGATGCAACAAGGAGCATGACAGGCACAACGGAGCACACAAAGTCCACGCGTACAGAATACACTCTGAACACTCTTCCCCTTGTCCAGGACCTCACGCCTTTGGAAATCGTTCTGGACAAGGAACCTTGGATGGATGAAATCCCGGAAGACGATATGCTTGGATCTTGGCTCAGCCGCTGGTGCTATTTTTGTCCCAGCCTGCTTGGTTTGAAAGGTCTGAGGCTCAAAAACTGGCCTTTGCCGAGTACCAGGCTAAGGAAAAGGCCTCCATCCATACCCGACAGCATGCTCGATGCTTGAGTTCCTGTCCAGCTCAGCTTCACATGATCTAAGTTTTGCACGGAGTTGACGCGGTGCGGCAGGCTCTCGCTGAAGCGCAGGATGCGTATCGAAAGCAGCTCTCAGCAGAACTGTGATCTGGCCACGTATTCGACAGGTGTGTTCCGCAGGTCCTTTTAAATGCTGAGCCTTTAAAATTCAATGGTTTTAGGTTTCTGCTATTTTTGGCGGTCCCGGATTTGACGGATAATTAAGGGACCCCAAAACATTCGTACTATGCAGTTACAGGCAGCTGCTGGACCCCCCCTTAGGAAACATGATTGCTAGGCCTCCTCGCCCACAAGCGGTCTCATAAGAAATCGATAGTGTTGGACCTGGCTTGGAACTTTAAAATCCGGAATTTTGAGGTCCTCAAAATCAGGAGGTTGGAGGTTCTGGAAGCTCTGGACAAGGGGTTCTAGTCTAAGTAACAAAAGGCAGCTTGGATTAGGACCCTAAACTAAATACCTACTGCCTGCCATGCTTTTCAAAGCAAATTAGGTTTATCTATTCTAGTCACTTATTCTCCGAATTAACTTGTTTGGCCGCCCAACTTCGCACAATTATGGGACCTCAAACGAACCCGGGGGGGTGCTGAATAATTTCGGCGGAACTTCACACAATTAGGAACCCCACACTACTCGGGACCAAACATTATGATGATGACAGGAAAACCCTCCGAGCTGGCGTTCAAGAATTGCAACGGCCCCAGCTGTGGCTGATTGCAATTGGTGGGGCTGGGACATGATGGGGTGCGATGTTATCACAAGAGGGTGAAAGAACCCACAAACTCTTCATAGTCAGACTTGCGTCGCTGATTGTGTGACACAATGCGACACAGGACGCTGCAGTTCGAAGGCTTACTGAAAAAGCTGCATCATGAACGCAGGAGGCCAAGATCTCACGCCCGGTGAGTCATACCAGAATCAGCAAGTGCTACATTGAAGTTGTCCCAGCCTTCATAGCAAGGCTTCGCTCATGATGCTAAATTTCTTTGCCAAGAACTGCACCGCCCCTGGCTATCCCTGTAACGCAAACTGCTGTTGAAGTTGTGTGCGCAAGGGATTGAGGAGATAGGAACGCGGGTTGTTGCACTGTTGGACTCGCTCAGGTACTGTGCCCGACTGCAGCTGGCACTGCTACAAAATGTGGAGGACAATCTTGTGCGCGAACAGGCCCACTTTGATCTGGCAAACCCCTCATCTTTTTCCTGTCAGTTTCTGATTTGCCTCCCTAAATTCCACTCTGAGGCCGCAGCGCAGGAGAAGGTGCAAGCCTGCGACGCGCGGTTCAATGTTGGACCCCCGGCACGATGCAGTGCAAGAATAGAAGGCTGTGTCTGTCGAATTAGGCTTTCTCATCCGAAGTGCAGAAGGCGAAGGGAGAACAGGCCTGCCCTCCTCCTGACTGTTGAAGTGTAGAGCGGATTAGAGCGGCACAAAGCGGCGATCTGCAATTGCCTACCTACCTCCAACCAAGGGATTAGACCCACGGCCATTGCTGCATCCGCGAACAGATCATGTGACGGAGTATCCACTATCGTTCAATCACAGGACGATCGCGTAAGATACGAGAAGGAGGCGGGATCTTCGAAGCAAGCTTAGGAGGGCTCCCAAAGGCGAAGAGATAGTCGAGCCCTGCACAATGCTTTCAGGTCTCCTCTGCCCAGCACTTCAGGCAGGCGTTTGCAAACTCCACCCTGGAAGCAAATGTCCACACCTTAGCTCGAAGGGCCAAGTTTGCTGGGCTTCATGCATGCATGAGTACAGAGACTCGGATTGTCAAGGCCATTACAGCTCTTCTGCAGACGGCATCTCAGATCCAAGCTCGAACCGAATGTTGAGTTGTGAATCTACTACGTTTTTGAGTAACTGTGGCTTTCAAAATTTTATAGGCTTTTCCGCAAGAAGAAGGAGCTCAATCGGGCTGGCTACTCACTGCGGGTCACTTCGCATACTTGGTCATAGCCGAGCCCTTTTTAGAGAGTCAGGCAAAGTCCTTTGCTTCTGAAGATGGTCAACGAATGCGCAGAAGTGCTCGCCGCTCTGTAGATTCTGTAGCTCGTGAGCTCTTTGCCTTTAAGGCTTTCCAGATTTTAGGTCGGGAATCTGTATGAGGCCTCGCAAGTCGGGCTCCCGAAGGGCGTGCCAGGCTTTAGCCTCCAGGAGGCAACCCCTGAGCTTTGTCAAGGGAAGTTTGGCGTTTCTCCACATGCAAAACGATTTCACACACAGGATGGATCAGCAGATCCATATCTGGATCTAGGGGTAGAGCCCGAGTCCTGGAGGAAGCCTTGACCTGCGTGTTGCAAGTCCTCGCCCAAAGCGCACCGCAGACTTTCTGAGGCAGAAGCATGCTCAAGCTCAAGTCGAAGATGACATCAAATTCGAGGCTGCTCCAGCAAGACAGGTTGCGGAAATGTCCCTATAAGACTGCCAAGGATTGCCCGGAAGGTGTCGATGAGGACTTCAAGCTGCGTGCGATCTCTCGGGCCGCTGTAAAGCATCGTAGGGCGAAAATCCGAAGGACAGCTTCAACCGAATGCTGGAGCTTCGAGCCGAGAAGCTTCAAGCAGAGGCGGAAGTTGCGCGGGGCGTCGCGGCCACAGCTTTGTTCGACGACAAGACACGACAAGACTGCCGCCACTGCCATGAAAGCTATGTAGCTATTCAGGCAGCTGTGCTCAGCGAAATGGGCGGCTTCCTTGGGCATTTAGAGCGCGAGCCCTCTCCTGAGATTGCTATGATGTGTGAGAAGCACGTTCAATAGCTTGCCTTGCAAGGTGCTCAGAAGCCAAAGCAGAGAACGACCGACTGGAGAGAGAGCTCCGCGAGCACAAGGACAGTTGAATCCAACCCGGCAAGCAGTCAGATGGCACTTGATGGCACTCACTCTCCCTGAGGGGCTTATGAGCCGCGAGCTCTACGACATTGAAATCCTTTTCAAGCTGAAGCAGGGTCAGGCAGCGTCTCGAATGGCGGTCTTTCAGAACTGACGAAGCCTGAAGAGCCCCTTACTCTCCAGGTGGAAGTCCCTCAAGCAGCAGTGGTCACCGACTACTCGGACGCGATCGTCATTGATCACGAGGAGTGGTTAAGTTCATAACGTCTCAAGCAAAAGCTTGTTCGTGCAGGTCGTGGAGTCGCGCAACAGAAGAATCACTGAACTGGGCAAGGACAAGGTGCATATCCTGACGAAAATCAAGGACCTAGCGTTGCGTTTTTCTTATACATGTTTTCAATGACGCACTTGACACAAGGAGTTCAGAAAATCTCTGAGCACTCTGGACTGGGAGCACGAGATGCTGGCGCTCCAAACAACAGACCTTGAGGCACAACACAGAAACATGCAGGGGGCATCTGCCTGGATCCAGTTCACATCGCTTCATTTGGGAAAAGGATGGGATTGCCGTCAGGAGCGTACAAAGGATGTACACATGCTGCGGGTAACGAAGGCACGTGCCTCTTTCGCATCACTCGACTGTCAGCGCGGTGCAGTCAGCTTCAGAAGTTTACCTTCAGGACCTACAGTCGCTGCTGAAGGGTGGCGAGGAAGGCGGGGCGGCGGGACATCCAACAAAAACTAATGCCTGGCAACTTCAGCTCCGGTTCCAGGCAGAAACAAGGCGGAGTCAGATCTGCTTGAGCGTCCCTCTCCAAGTCTCAAAATGTCGCAGATTCAGAGACCAGGTCGAATGAAGGAAGTTGGATGTCTGATCAGGCAAGATCGAGCACCTGAGCGAAGCAACCGAGAAAAAGGAGCAGGTTCCCATCGGTTCCCGTGGGATGCATTGCCGGCACAAGCTGCACAATAGAAAGCTTAGTTCCTGAAATAGCATGGCATTGATGAAGGCCCTTAAGAAGCAGCACTCGATGCTTGCCCATGCTGCCAAGCTACGTTCCTCGGCTGAGATGAATCCCAAGATATCCTCAGACAGACCTTAAGCACAGGCACTGGGATAGACTTTCTTCTATTCCATACAGCGGCCTGGGGAGCCATTGAGACCCTGATCTCAATCCTAATATCCCTTCTGCCGCTCAGGAAAGAATGAAAACGGAATGCTGGAAAAGCCACGCTTGCGAGATTCACTCGGTTTTCTTGAGCAGGGTGGCATGCGGGCTTTGAAACTTCTTGGCCAGGATTACAAATATAGTCATGATCAGTCAGTACATGTAGGTAGATATACCTATTGCTGTTGCCAGGAAGTTGCGCGAGCTACAGCAGAATGTCATTCAGCGTGAGCACATCCGGCGGCTGCGAGCACCTTCCGGGCAGCCCCAGAAGACCGGAGGTGGTGGTCGTGTTGAGGACTGGTCTGCCGGCATCCAGTCAGGGTGATTCAGTGCGCTTAGGTCTCGCGTCAGCTTCTTTTTTCGTCAGGCGAATCATCGCTGAAGAAGAATATCAGCATATATTAGCTTTTGGTGGCGCTTGGTCTTGGCGAAGCAGGTTGACATGTGCAGACCATTGAGCATTCATTGAACCCTCGCAGCCCAAAACATCCAATCTGCGTGGCCTTCCAGTGCAGGCATGGCTCAAGGCGGAAGGCGTGGGAGCGTGAGTAACAATCAGGTAATTGTTCATCAAATTTATCTTTTTGAGTCAAAAGTGTATGCTTCGCTTCCGGCCAACGTCGTTTCGGGTGTGAACAAATCCAGGTCGCGGCGGGGGGTTAAGAGATGCGACTCGGGGTCAGACGTGAGGGTCATAAGGGCGTGCCACGGGTTGGAACGGCGTCCGGTTAACTCACCAGATGAAGTGCTGGCGAGTCCCAAGGCGTCTCGGGCCTGTCTTGAGAACTTTCCGCCAGAGATCCCCTGAGGGTCAACGTGTTTTGCTGGGACGGTGCCAGGGGAGAGAAGCAGCAAGGTGACAAACAGCCCAAATAGCCCAAGCTCTCCCAAAACCGGGGAACGGCATCGGCTCTTGGTGCAGCCCTTCATTTGCTTCACAACTCGGCCGCAGGGCAAGGCTACAGTACGGCAGGCCGCCAAACTAAACGGTTGCAAAGCACCACCACATGGCGACCATCGGAGACCGATGCATGATGCATGAATGTTTGTTCGCTGCTCGCTGTAGCACGAGGGCTACGGCATCACATTTTCTCGAAACAGTAGGCAATCATAAAGCTTCATCTGTCCAATCTTGCTAGGAGGATGAAGGAGCCGCGAAGGCAGCGCAAGCAGCCTTCAAAGAGGCAGGCTGCTGATGGTGATGTGTCCACATCGATTAAAGATGATCGGATGTTTTCGGTCGCGTAGGGATACCAGCGCAGCCAAGAGAAGGTCTTGAGTCCTGGTTGGTGTTCCTTCCTTTTTTTGAACACAGGAGCTTAAGAAGAGCAGCTTGATGTGCGCAAGTAACGGAATGATTTCGCATTGTTCCCGCACAGATGTTGTAAAGGCCCCTGTTTGAGGCTATTTGGGCAGGTCATGTCAGATCGCTTGCAAAGCGCACCATTTCTTTCCAGGGTAGGCTTCTGCCTTTTGCGCTCTTCTCCATATGGCACGATTAGCCGTGATGTCAGCCTGCCTGCTCAGTTGCGAAGCCGACAGAAGCTCATGGAGATGGCTTCTGCCTCAATTTCGGGATGTGCTGCTTGCAAAGAGTTGCATGCAACAAAGGCAAAGAAGAACACAGAGGAGATCGAGATCCTGCACAAGGACCGTCCAGATCGAAGTAACAAACTGCTTCAAGCTGTGAAGATGCTTTTGTACACGACCTTGGTCATTGGTTTTGAGCTGCATGATGCACAACAACTACTGGCTGCTGCGCTGGCAAAGTCACAGGAGCTGGACCGTTTGAGACAAAGGACTTTCCCTTCGTTCGTCCAGTTGCACGAGGCCGATCTTTATGTGAAAGTTATCTGTGCCGCAAGACAGCGTTTGGAATGACAATCTTCCAGGATCGACCGGCGAACCCAGACCATCGCTGAGAATCTCGCCGTTGTCAAACTATCAGTCATTACGGTAGAAGCAAACTGCATCTTTCAATTAAGCAGTTTCATCATGTCGCCACATTCATGTCACGAATCACTTTGCTAAATTTGCATGCCCTTCGCCAAAAACAGTCTCACAATAGCTCCTGTCTCACTGTCTCACTTGAGTGCTGAGTGCACTCATTTCACTCATGCAAGGTTAGTTGTGTGACGGGCCACAGCCTTTGCAAGTATCATAGACATGGCGACGGATGTTGGCGCTGCCAAGATGGTCAGCCCGCATTTTGAAGCACATGTGCTTGTGTTAGCGAAGTGAGGCAAAACTGACCATGGCCTTGATCAGTTAGGTGCAAAGAGATAGGCAGTTAAAGTAACTAATGTTAAATATTTGTTCTTTAAAGCCGGTATCCGATGTGCAGCTCCGGGCGTGAGAGAGTGCACATTGGAGCCAAAGGACAAATCCAGATGAGACCTAGTAGGCAAGCTGTCACAGCAGACCCAGAGCTCTTGAGTTTCAATCGTAGAACAACGGTAAAACAACAGCAAACCAGCCCTGTGTGTAGCTTTGCGACGCTGAGGCAATAATTTAATTGTCTGCCCACGACCGCCTGCCCGTGGCTTTTTAGCTCTCGGGTTTCAGAGCCCCGTGCGCCGGGCAGTTGGCAGGCGCGCTCGGGCGCTCAGGGTGCCGATTCTACCCTTATCCAAGGGGTCTGGCTTCAATTCAAGTCCATGATAAGACATATCCTGGAAGACTGCTTGCATTCAAGGGCTCAAATAGTATTCAAAGTGATGTGCAGTCCTCTGTTGAGGCGTTTTCGAAGATGAGGATTGAAAAGTTTGCTTCTCAGACTGAGGATGTTCCTGCTCTGCTTGCACTCAGTGTCATTGCTTGGGCAAAGAGGATTGCATGAGCAAGCTGTTGTAGGTAAGCTGTTCGGTGCGGGCGACGAATTGGCAGCCTAGGTGCTGGTTCTGCTCCAGCAACGTATACCCCGGCCATGGCATCATGCTGCTTCTGCCTGTTTGAGAAGTCATCTGAGTGCTTAATTGACAATCTCGGCATGACATAGGTTCGTGCGAAACGACTGCAAGACCTTCCGGTTTTGCCGAAGAAAGCTCAGATTTTGAGATGTATGTTTGCTGCGCTTCGCTTATGGCTTCTGTTACACAGCTCGTGCAAGGATCAAAGTGTCATAAGCACTTCAAGATGAAGCACAATCCTCGAAAGTTAAAATGGACGAAGGCCACATCTTGAAGCCCGTGCCTCCTGATCCAAGGGCAAAGATGTGCTGCCTTGTCTCAGGCATACCGCCGTGCGCGCGGAAAGGACGTGCTATGATGCTGGTAGCTTTTGATGTTCATCACTGCTCAATCCACGAAAGGAGATGGTTGTCGACTCTACCTTTAACTTCGAGAAAAAGCGCTTGACCCCAACCAGGCTGGGAAGCAAGACCCCCCAAAATCAAGTTTCACTACATGAGTCTGCAATGTTTGCATGGGTGCTCATTACAAGTTCGAAACGAAGCATAGCTATTAGACAGGTACAACCGGAACTTGATGGTCAAGACAGCCGTTCGCTCAGGGACCATCCGCGTTGCCCCGTATCGTGTTACGCTTTGGTTGTATCGGCGGCTCTGTGGGGCTAAGGTGCGGGCAATGCAGATTGTAGAGAGGATCAGGTCGGTGAGGAAAGAGTCGGAAGCCTGGCTGTCAGTTTGCCCTGACAAAAAAAAAGACTTGAAGATCTGCTGCGACATGTTGCGTGAAGGCGATTCCACAAGGCCAGACTTGCTGCGCAACTCAGGCGGAGCACAGCAGATAGCATGCGCAGGTTGTCATAAACTAGCAAAGTGCACTGGCACACTTGCCCTCATCTGTAAAGGCAAAGGTGCCTGTGCTGCAGGAATCGTCAGACCAGCGCACAGAAGGAAATTGTCCCAAGCTGAGGAATTGAAAAATCTGAGGATTGCCGAAGCGCAGCACGATTGCTCTTGTGCGGCCAGCCTGAGCATGCCAGAGCAAAGGCGAAGAGTGCCCACTTGCTGGAGGGGCCCAACAAGGAAAAGGCACTCCGCTACCAGAAGGACATGGGATGGACAGAGAATGCCGCAGAATGAACACCAAGCTCACTTGTGGGCAGGAGTTTGCTGGATCTACGAAGGCAAAAGCCAGACAAAAAGTCAAGGCTCAGAGTCCAAGCCGCCATAGGCTGCTAAGAAATCTGTGACGTGACAGCTTGTGGTTGCAGGTCGAGAAAGCTGCTGGCGGCTCAATGGAAGTCGAAGAGTAGATGTGAACCACATCTCCTGGAATGCTTTGTACATAGCTTGGAAGGGCCAGCCAATCAATGCAAACACAGATACCGCGGCTCTGACAGATAGCCTTTGGTTCATGGCACTGGTGTTTGTTGCGATTCTGTGGCGCTCGTGAGACCCTCGTGTATAATGACGCAATGCAGCTTGGCAGCGCTCCAAGAGCGCTCCTCTGACGCTGCATTTGGCAAAGCCCGCCTCGGGAACCGCACTGCAGGCTCACCAGGCTGATCATGCCCGAAGGCTGTCAGACAGTGTGCAGCGTCCAAAAAAAGGTGCAGGTCCTCGGCGGCGTCCACGTTGTGCTTTAGTTTTGCTTCGCCGTGAGATTGGGGTTGAAACCTAACGACTTTGTGCGGATGTGGGACACTACTCCGAGTGGCCAACAAAGAATTGCCGCCGTGTGTTGTTAACATTCTGAGAAGCAGTTCAGCGCTGCAAAACCCGCGTGTCTCAAGACAAGGCATCCCGGAAATGCATGAGGGTAGTTAGAAAGGCAGCTGACCGTCTGTGGCCCCATGGAGTCGAAGTATCTCTTGTACACACCAAGAAACATGGTTCGTATTTCCGCTGCAAGTACAGTAATTTGCATCGTCAGCGCATCTATAAAATAGTTGCAATATATTGAAACACTTGCACTAGGGGCAGCGCCCCGAGTGCTCTGGACATGGCGACTATGGTTTCTTGGTTCGGATCTGGTGGCAACAAGCGCATCGGTCGAGCGGCATGCTACTTGTCTTTGTCGAGGTTCCTGGCCGCAAGCCGCGCCAGAAAGAAAGCAAAGGCATCCCGCCGCTGCGACCTCGAATGACATTACTGCTGGGCAAGCCTGGTCTGACTGAGAAGTGCGGTGGAAGTTGTGGATTCTCCTCGGCAACCCAGGCTGACGAAGAATGAGGTGATTCATATCACTTCGGCAGAGGCTGAACTTGTGCCCGGCCCGCGGACATTCTGAGATGTACTCCGGGATGCAGCGCGCATGCCATCATACCAGGCCGTTTCAGGACGAGAAGCTGGAAATCTACTGCAGAGAGCGTGGGCCCAGATTTCATTGCAATCGAAGAAGTGCATAACCCACCCATCGGTTTGTGCATTGATGAAGCATCTGACTGCCTGAAACAGCATCTAACAGCGTAATTAGGCATGATGACATCGCCGCCTCATTTACAGAAGCCCGCGAGGCTCAAGCTTACGTATTACATGCTCACATTCTTTCTCTTTCAATCATGCTGCCTTGGAGAGATGCGGATGCATGTCAGGGGCGCGGCGTCCTGGCAAAGCTTTATGACCAGCGGAACAAAGAGGTGCGTCATCCGCATGGCTCGTGCGCGATTGCATGAACTCATGCATGCCTACATTTTCGACAGATCCTGGACCGCTTGGTGGCAATGCGAGCAAAGTCTGACAAAGAAGCGAAAGTGAATCTGGACCAGCTCAAGGCCAGCAGTTGCGATGCCAAAAGCGGTATTGAGTTTGCATGTCCTTGCGCATCAGGACTTCTGCAAAGAATTCGTGGACACTGTTGCTGAGCGAAAAAGAACTTGGAAGCAGAAGTTTGTGCGCTTCTGAGAATTATCAGACACGCAAGTTCTGCACCACTCCAAAGACTGCGGGACGCACGCTTCCTCAGCGTTCCACCGTCAACCAGGCCGATGATAAGAATGAGCTGACAACGCGATCTACAAAAATGGGTCAACCTCTTAATCTTGCACGCAAATGTCTGCAGACATGAGCCGTAGTGATTCGATAGAGCATTTTGTTGCAGGTTGATGACGGCCTGGTGTTGAATATTAAGCTTCGCTGGGCGCTGAAGGTGAAACCATCACAGCCTTGGACGAAGCTATCGTCCAAGAACACGAGGACAGTATACTGAGCGTGCTCAAGCATCATCGTGCGAGCATACACAACCGGGTCATCACTCTGGGCATGGCAGAATTTGTTCGTTTGTTGTTCAACTTGTCTAGGGTGAATGGTTGCATGCCTCTGTGTGCCATAGCTGACATGAACGGAAATGGAGGGCACCTGTGGAATGGTCGCTGAAGTATGGGCAGGACTGCCTTGCCCACGCGGCGGCTGAAACGGAACCGCTGCTGGCTGCCTTGCGAAAGCGCAGAACTCAGAGCTGATCGAAAATGCGGACCCGCGCAACAGAATGAAGCTAAATGAAGCCGCAGCAGTCAGGCCCTGAGGGCTTGCAAATGGATTCCTTCGGTTCAGGAAGTGCTGGCGCGCTCAACATTGATTTGGGCATGCAGCTTCTTTCCAGCTGACTAATGTTGGGTTCGGAATATATTAAGCCCCTACCCCCTCTCCTCCAAACAAGTAGAGGATTCTAAATATTCCCGGGTCCCCAAAACAAAGTTCGGCAAACTTGTTCGGAGAGTCCCAGAAGATTTCATAAACCCTTAACCCTAAAACCTGGAAAAGAAGACTCTCTCTCGGGCTCAGAGCTAAAGCCTCCGCCACAGAGCTATCTGCCTGCCTCACTCGGCTACTTGTGTTCAATCGGATACTCTTTCTTATTTCTGCTATGAAGAGGCTAATCCCAAAACCTTGAAATGCAAACCACTTGCTTTCTGGCCAAAGGGCTCCAGGACTCAGATCTCCAGGCCTAGGGCTTCAGATATACCTGCAATTAACAACTCAATCATGCGGCCGGGCCCCCGATTATTCCTTACCCTTTTCAATAGCTATTATTCTTTCTGGCAGCGTCGGTATACTGCCCCTCAGCAGGAAAGATGGGCTGGGCTGCTCGAATAACAAGCAGTTTCATGTTTTATAAGAGATCGGTGGTTTCTGGCAAGTCTACAAGGTTCAATTATGTATGTGTTGCTTTGTCTAAACACATGCTTTTACCAGTTACTACTTAATTAGGGTTTCCGTTGCTTAGACTGGCTGGCTTCTTTGGCTTCCGTTTCTTGTGTTTTCTTTCTTCGACGTTTTCCAGGGCAGAGCATGGATTTGTTCCGTTCCCGTGTTGTCATTAACCCCTTCAAACCACAAATCGCTTTATTACGAACCAATTTACTAATCCGACCCCAACATTAAATTCCAAGAATGTCCAAGAGCAAGGTACCTGAAAGATCTTGAAAGGCTAGTTGGCTCTCGCAACGTGCAACCAACGATTTGAAACAACATGGGAATCAAAACCAAGGCGCAGCATTGATTGAATGTATAAGGCTGATGAAGGCTGAGCTTCCATAGCACCACCAGAGAGCTAAAGCCCTGCTAACATGTCCCCCTGCACTGGTTATGCAAAGACGGGAACCGTGTAGGGCGCAAGCATGGCTCTGAGTGACGCAAAGCTTCAAAGGGAACAGGAGTCTTACTTTGGGGCTAGAATCTTTGGCAAGCTTACAAGACAGCTTTGGCAGTTGTGAGTAAGTCCTCACACAGACTGCAGAGCCGAAGCCTTTCTTCCTGACTTTGTGAGTCCCCCAATGCCCAGGGGTGGGCTACGAATGGTCCCGTAGCTTCTTGCAGAGGAAGAATTTTTTTGTGTCGAGGGTTACAATGACAACTGCTTTGCCATCTTGTGCGCTTGAGATCTTATATGGCTGCAGACAGGGCATGGCCTGCAGCCAGAACGGCCTTCTGGTTGAGTGTCGTCCAAAAACCCATGCTTTCGTTTCTATATGGCCCCGAACAGGATACGCAAGACGAAGAATGTACTATAAGCTATAAGCTTATAAGTACCAGTCCTACGAAAGCAATTCAAATAAACTCTGCCCGCGCAAGGCGCTTGTAAGCTTCGCGCAAGCGCACTCCAAGGGGCATTGCTGGGATAAGGAATATCGGACAACCCCGAATTGACTGGAAGTCAAAATAGACCGAGCTTGAACTTTCAATCCGAGTTGGCTCGCACCAAGCCCAAAGTCACAGCGCGCTGAGGCACAATGACTTCCTGGCTGAGCAGGCACGCAAAATCACGCAAACAAGTTCTGATGCTAGACGCTGTGACATATGCATCACTAGTCTTGCTCTATGCCAGATGCGGAAATCAGACGTTGTTGTCTAGTGGTCGTGGTGGCCAGGTGGCTGAACGATCTGAAGAGCATGATCGCTTCATGGGCGACATGCACAGCCGCTTTAGCTCGTTGAGGAGAAACCATTTGGCCCGTGTCTCACGTTCTCACCCTTGACATGTCAAAATGCTCTTCGCAGGAGAAGACTGGCAGAGGAAAGGGAGGCTGGCATGGTGGGTCTTCGTAGTTTAATGAAACTCCCAGCTTCCAACCCAGAGCTTCCGCCAATCCTCACGTCCCTTCAATTTGGCTCCAGGCCCGCCGCGAGAGAGGTCACGAAATGCGACAGCGTGCCGAAGATCGGTTCAGCTCGTAACCCCGGCAACTGTTTGACTCGTGTCGGGTAAGAGTTCGTGGCTTTTCTGTTTTGGAAAATGAATGCTGCGTGGCGGGCGCTGCAGCATCCCGATATGAGGACGCAGCATTTACTTATGGCTCAGTCAGATGACTAAGCAAACAAGTCCTCCCAGATTCAACGACTTCGATCTTGTGGCAGCCTAGCGGCTAAGCCAGCATCCCCCCGCCTTGCCTCCAGCTTGCATTTGTGCATCTTTCTGTATGGAATAAAGCCACAGTTCCTTGCCACCGTCGTACTGGAAATGTTCGGAGAACGATTGTCATGCGACTCTTGAGACAACTTTTCAAGGCTATGCGAACGAGATTCCCTGTTGCAAGCATTATTCATGGGCCAGGCTAGACACCAGGATCAAGCAGAAGGCTTCTTCTGGTTCAAGCATCGCAGAGGAAATGCCTGACATCCCTGCTTGTGTCAGGAGCCTGAGGTGAAGAGACATCTCGAGGATGTCAGGGCAAGGCCAGACTTTCTCCAGCTTTGGGAATCTCAAGCCTGATGCAGTCGGGTGAAGGATGACCACGGAGCTCCAGATGCGTTCCGCAAGCCAGGAAAGCATGGCAGACAACTTAATGTATCCTTAATCTCCTTACAGCTCGAACCTGGCTTCTGGAGCCGAGGTGCAAGACATGATGCGCTTCATGGCCCACTTCGAGAAGACTGGGCATTTCCAAGGGGCTTGCGGGGAGGGTCCAAGTCTATAAGGTGACTTTGCAGGCTTCTCATTTTCGGGATGTGGAGCCAGTTCATCCTAGCGGCTGGAGTGCAGAAATCAAACCGAGAGGTCGCTGCTTGGTACTATTTCTTCCATGTAGTGTTGATGGAGAGTTGAAGATTCAAGGCCTTGTGCGCAGATTGTGAAGTAGTCGGGTGAGGCTATACAGAAGGTGCTGGGAGCGCCGCGGCTGATCCGCGCCAGGAGCATTTCGGAATCCGGGCAGCGCCAAGAGAAGACGAAGGCAGAGGGCAGGAACAGCACAAGTCCATCTCCCCTACTGACCTGTAACGGAGCAGCATCAGTATGTAGGGTTTTCTGCGCTGGTCGCTCGAAGGCCCACTTGCACGCAATGAAGATGAAGCTGAGGGAGGAGGAGTAGAACTGACCACCTGCGCTAGCTGCCAACTGCTCGAAATTGGCTATATGAAAGCAGCTGACTGCCGCACACAGACCAGTTGTCTTTTTCTGTGGTTTCTGGAGTATCCTGGATGCCTGGATCCCCTTGCTGAGGGAATTCACTTTCTGTAGTTCGTGTCACTCTGACGGGCAGCCACTCAAGGTGCAGTCCTGCTCCGAGCCCAGTAAAAGACTTAAAGACTTTGTCCGCGCTTGAGCTTCTCTAAGCTTGCAATAATCCGCCAGAACTGGGCCAGAAAACAGTGCTGCTAATATCTGCTAACAGTGCAGGTGGAAAGGTTAGTGCAGCAGCAGTAGGCACAATGGGGCGTAGGTATTGCCCAACAGCTACAGTACCTGCCTCAGCATTGGCTCGGGCATTTTGACACGGATTTGGCAGAGATGAACTCAAAACTGTTTGCATCATTATGGCGGGTGCGTGCACAACATTCATTAGTCCCAGAAGGGCTGCGCGAGCGTTCGTCGTACTAGCCAGGAACAAACAAACAACTATTCCCACACTTAGTGTTTTGGTCGATGCAATTTGGGCATCTTTTAGCTTTGGCTTCTTGGAGGCCGAGGTGGCATATTGAGAGGAGGATGTTGCCGCTGTTTTCTGCATGCTGGAGTTGCAGGTGAGCAATGTCTTTCAAAGACACATTCACCAAGGACACCCGGATGCTTGAAACAGTACTGTAGCCATTGCCAGAAAGTGAAAAGCACCAGGGGTGACTCCTATGCTCAATCAGCTCTCCGCAAGGATGATCAGAAGGAAGGCCTTCTTGGATATGACGACACGGCATTCTACTACTTTTTCAGCAGTGTCTTGCAACCATGTTTAACCTCCAGCACGAACCAGCTTTTCGAGTCATAAGCTTGATGGCAGGTGCTGGTAACCGTGGCCGTGCCGTGGACATGCTCAGTCATCTACAATTTTCTTTTTCCTGGTCAAGCCCAAGTAGAAAAGGACTGCTTCTCCCTTAGATATGAGGCAAGCAATGACTCAGAAAGCCACAGCCGGCCAGGATTTTCCGACAAAAAGTAAGTCTGGAAGTAAATACCATTACTGTCAAAGCCGGAGCCCCGTTTGCGGAAGCCTGAGTTGGCTGATGCACGCCTTGCCTCGTCGACAGGCTCGCAGATGGTGGACAAAATAGACAAGGCTCAGAAATAGTGGAACGCAGCTGCATCAAGGTTTCTTGTGTTGGCACGTCCAAGCCAGGCTCGCCAAAAGGCGAAGAGGATAAGTGCAGGTGCGCCTCCTTCCACTCCACACCTAGCAACCTGGTGAGAATTGTGCATGAATCTGCTAGCTTGCTTGTGGAAAGGATCCTCGCTGACCATGAGCATCAAGCTATCGTTATTGGCCGGCATTTGGCACAGAGCTTAGCTGGACGTGTCCCAAAATGAGGTGTGCGCGGACATCCGTTCCATACTCCAATCAATAGGGGATGGATCATCGCACGTTGCCCCGTTCCATACCTCCTCATTCCAAAACCTGATAAACATCGGCATATGCGATCCACTCAGTATGGGTCACTCCCATCGTTCCATACATTATGGACCCATGGGTTCGAGTGGCTCGTCAAACCAGGACTTTTGGGACACCCCCCAGCTCTAACTGCCTCACACCATCTCGCGGGCATGCCGAGGTTGACCATATACTTGATCCACCTGCATATTGGTGATGCGAAGGAGATCAAGAGGCAGGCTTCAGTCCAGCAGACCTTTCCCTTAAGATCAAAGCTCGGAAAAGGTTCGACCCATTTGAGATTCTGGAAGTCAGTCCTGGCGCATCCGCGCCGGAAGTAAAGAAGGCCAGGCGTAATCTGAGCCACCCTCATGTTGACATTATGCTGGCGGAAGTCGTGGGAAGGCATACCGGGCGCTCTCCCTGAAATACCATCCAGACAAGAATCCGGACGATCCGCTAGCTGCTTCCCGATTCATGCAGATCACAAAGGCATCAGCCCTGCAGATTGTGCTCGCGAGCGAGCCTGATCTAGAGTCCTGCCAGCACACGGCAAGTTTTCAAGGCGCACAATGCGCTGACGGATGAGACAGCCAAAGCCAACTACGAGAAGTGCTCGCATTGTTACCTTGGTGCTTGATGAACGGGTTATCTTAAGCTCACTTCAGCTCATTTCAGCTGTCAGGTACGGCAACCCCGATGGCCCTCAGACGTCGAAGGTTGGCATCGGTTTGTCCGGTCCTTTGATGACGGTGCTCGGCATGCTTGGAACATTACGTGCCATTCCTCACAGGCCTCGCTTCCTCTTGGAGAAAGAGAACCACCTGGTCTTTGTGGCATGTTGTTTGAGTAATCGCTCAGAGCACTTAGCCGGGCCTGGCCAGATGATCCTCTGCCTGTTCTTCTTCTTGCTGCTGTTCGCCATGGCCTTATGTAAAAGAAAAACAGCTCTGGCATATGTGCCGTACACCTTCAAACAGCGCTCAGACGCGGGTAACAATGTATGGCCATCGCGAGGTTGTTCCTATGGCTTTCATTTGCTATTACCAGAGGACTGCAAGTGTCAGTGCCCGGTCTCAGCAATCAAGCTTGAAATTGGAGTGGCAGCTGCGAGGTATTCTTTCAGCATCTCCACACATGTTGCAAAACTCTTGTGAACGCAGGACAAAGAACTATGCTGCCAATGGGGTCATGATCGAGACCCTGCAGTTCATGGGGCACCTTGGCAGAACAAGATGCATGTTGTGATCAGTCCTGAAGCCAATGGACAGTGCACAGAGCCGATTGAGGTATTACATCAATGAGGCATGCTGCCAAGTGTAGCGCTTCCTGTTAGAAACCGTTATTCTGAATCTGTTTAAGATTGCTCGAGTATTTAGCGAAGCGGTCCAGCCTGTACAAGGCCACACGCCTGAAAAATTGCCCCGAGCTTCTGGCAGCTTCAGCAGAGAGCAGGATGGACGCAAGATGATTGTGCTTCAGTGCTCTGGCATGGTGCATGTGCTCTGCCATATTCCTGGCCAGAGGGGGTGTCTGGCCTTGGGACCACAATGAGTATAGCTAGACATGTGCTTGCATACTTTTCCAAGCGTCTAACTGAAACAAAACATACGTGTCTATGATGTTTGTGACTGCATCTTGCTGCCAGGGGGATGGCCTTGAGGCCTGCTGACAATGCAGAAATGAAAGCGCAGTTCCCTCAGACTGGTGAGAGTTTATCCTTGTCCAGAACATGGCATCTGCTGAAGGCTGTCAGCGCAGGTCGTCGAGCACAAGAAGCGTCAGTTCACGGCTCCCATCATCATCAAGTGCGCCTGCAATGCGCTGGCAAGACTTCTCCTCGGTCTGCCCCGGCTGGCAGGAACAACTTCTTGCTTCTTGGCCACATGCAGCGGCTTCACCACCTCATGTCAGACGACCTCAGGGCAGATCTTGATGAGATGCTCAGGCAGCCTGGTGAGCTTTCACATAGTTCGTTGTATTTCGTGGTTGTGCTATTTGGATCTGGAAGATGATCTGGAAGATCAGCTAAGCATATGCTGAGCGCAGTGAGAAGGAAGACAGATGCGCATAGGCACAGGATGGCACAGGTAGAATCTTGTACCAATGATGGCATGGCAGGCACTCACAGAAGATCACGCAGGCGATGATCGAGATCGCCTGCATGCGCGAGTGGCTACTCCTCATCTCAACGTTGATACTGTTTGCACTTGATAGGTTACAGAGTGTGAGAAAGCCATGACATCAGCACTATGCCGCAAATGGGACTGTCACAGCAAGATGTGAGAAGACAGAAATGATCACAGCTGGCGTGTTTTCTGGATTCTTGCCCTCAGCTGAGGTTTTTTACTGCTCAAGCCATGATCGAGTTCCGACGCAGCCTCATACAGGCTACAGAAAGTGTTCGCGCAGCAAGTTCTACACAATCAGCAGGTCCCCTGTCTTCCCGGCTTGTCAGGAAGCAGGATAAAACGCGTACAAACAATAGCAATAGATAGCAATGATTCCAATGATAATTTGTGAGATACTTCCAGTCAGGTGGCCAGATCATCTAGTCTTAACGTGATGCAGTGAGTTACCCACATTCCCTGAAATTGAAGAATAACACGCACCTATGTCAAGACTTGGCAGCCGGTAGACGCATGCAGCAGGCCCTTGACGTCAAAAGCTCACAGCTCCTGCAGATTCCTCACTTCAATGAGGAGATCTTGAAGTCGTGTCCTCAGGGCGAATGGATTCGATCGAATCTTGCATGTCAGGAATCATAGATACAAGCAACCAATGTTACAAAGCCAATGTGGAAGTATGTGGAAGTCCACAGGCCAGGAAGACTCAGGGACCTGCGAGCCACGGCATTGAGCTGGGGAGAGCCGGACAAGCACTGCTACCCTGGCCATGTAAGGTGCTTGTGTGCTGCATATGAGAAGCCTTCCAGGATGGGCAGTCCCTATGACAGAAGTTCAGTCATCCCCCCCAGATTTTGAGCCTGCGTTCAGTAGTATACACCCTGCTGCCCGCCAAAGCCTTGGATTGCATGCGTACTCGAGTGACTGCCATCTTCAACCTTTGACTTGACTGCTATACAGTACCTATAGTCGACCTAGTCTCATGCCACAGCTACAATCAAATCAAGCCCCTCGGAACGGCAGCGTAAGGCATTGTCTGAAGGGCAAGAATGCTGCCACAGACTCAGACAGAATCGAGAAGAGATAGGTCTCATGTTTGTGATGCCTCGCACGATCCTGGTAAGAGTGCCCACAATGCCATCCTGCCGATTCCATTCTTGGGGCCAACAATCTAGACCGAAGCTGCAGGGTTGTTTCGGACTCGAGAAGCTGGGTTTCAAGGTTCAGCTTCTGGAACCAGACTTGCAGATTTTCGAGTTCATGTTTTGAATTCTGAGGCTTGAAGTTTGTTCAGGGGCTGTCGGGTTTGGAATTTTCAACCTGGCGGGTTGGCAATGGCCAACAAGCTGAGTGCCTGAAGTTTATTTGCACGTGCAATATGTCACAGTCACAGATTGCCCAGACCTCCACGCTGTTGGACTACCTGCAGAAAGACCGTGACCAGAGAAAGGTGGGAACATACGTGCTTGAGATATTATACAGATTTGCAAGCATTTGCGCAGCAGGGGCTCACTACCATGTCGCCTGACCAAGTGGCCGATGTGGAGGCTGCATAGGGATAACGACTTCAACAGCGGACGTTTTGCAACTTGCAAGTTGGATACCAGGCATTCACTGCCCACGTCAGCAACATGGAGCTGAAGGCAATAACAGAGGCCGCTTGGCGCGTGATGTCGGATTGCTCTGCAACAGCTGCAGCACGCCTCTGGTGAAGTAGGTGGAGGATGAGAAGGATATGGTCGTTGGTGACATTGCGACCGTCACTTGTCAGCTCACGCGCGCCGGCCCAGCTGAAGTCGTGCATCTGTTTGCCATGAGAGCAATCATCAAGAAATATGTTTTGGGAGTGCTTGAAAGGCGGAAAAATCTGCAAGAGGGTGAGGCGAGCAACGCTGCCACATCTACAGCTTAACAGACTGAAGCTACAGCTCGAATTTGAGCATCTGTGGTTGCTTGTCTCAGGCAATGGGCCCAGTTCATGCCCCATTCTTCCCTGAGGCGGCATCCTGTCCTGTCATAGTGTTGAGTTTATCCCACCCACCGCTTGACCTGCTGCAGCCAAAGTTCGAAGAATGGTGGATCTTCCTGGCTGGCTGCCACAGCTTCCCCTCGCCGCTTCTGTAAGCCAGCCTGTCAAAGTGCTTCTGTCATTGTCCTAAGGTGGAAGGAGCTCCCAACACCAGAATCATGGGATTTGAGCTTGGCCCTTGGCTTCTGTCTGCAGACGAAGATGAGAAGGTAGAGTCAGGTTACTTCAGTCGCATTTGTCAGTGTCAACTAGCTAACGGATGAACGTGGGGTGTTGCAGGGGTTGCATCAGGTCCTCTTGGTCATGTGTATGCTTGCAGATCTGGTTTCGATGTGCAGATGTTTGGAGTTTCTGTCGTGTTTGGGTCTGTGCCATGTAGTTTGGTATCTGCTGTAAGCTCAAGCCAGGACATGAGGGTTGGGTGGAAAGGCAAGAAAACACAAAGTCTACTGTGGAGCTGTGCCGAGCATGTCATCTCAAAACAACGCTCTACTCTCGTCTGACCCTGGTGGTGATGCGGCCCTCACATGACCTTTCGCTTTGGCACAACCAAGAGAGACACGAACATGTGGCTTCTATTTTTAGGATTGAAGCGAGTCCTCTTCTCCAGGCGAATCCGAGACACAGACAGAGTGGTGGAAGCCAAGCTTCGCTTTCAGGCCAGCAATGTGAGTGAGTGGGTCTCGAGCTTTAGCCATGACGTTTGCCTGCTTGACTCCCAGGTGTCTAGACCAGGCAAGCACAGTCTCACGGTGCATGCACTTTGCGACTCCTACGTGGGTATCGACCAGAAGGCCCAGCTGATCAGAGAACAGCCGCATGAGCTGCAGCACCTGCTGCGAAAGGTTGATCTGAACTTCCATGTGCACACGGAGGAAGAGGCGCGACACGGCTTCCAGCGTTGCTGAAGTTCAGACACTGCGACATCATGCAGGTGAAGCGCGAGATCTTTGTTCATCCTGAGGATGAGGATGGCAAGTGGTTTTCTTTGGTGTGTGTTGCATCATATCTGCTGAAGCTCCATGGAACAAGCTTTATGATAAATGCAAGAATCCTCGGTGGTGTCCCTGGAAGGCTTCTATTAAGCAGTTGGCCAACATACATCAACATACATAGTGATATCGTGGAGTCATAGTAGGCCTGGCATGGCCTGGCCATCAGGATCTTGATTTGCAGCCAACTCTCTTTCAGCAGTTCATGGGCGAGCCTGGAACTGAGCAAGATTTTTCCTGCAGGGAAGAAAGGTAACAGGCCTTGGGCCAAGAGTCATCTTTGCTGCTTCAGGCTTGGGGGTGATGAGGAGAGCGAGGAAGAAGAAGACGATGACAAGAACAAGAGCAAGAGCAAAGTTGAAAAACTTAGTGATGGCAAGCAGCAGAAGGCCTTCCACTGTTGCCAAGCCCATGCCGGATCTTCTTGCTGCACGTCTGAGAGAGGCCGACAGCGATAATGAAGACGACAAAAAGGCAACGGCCGTAATTTGGCAACCTGGCATTCGAAGCACATGCCAGCTTGAATGCAGCCGGGGGAGGATAGCGATTCCAGCGGTAGCGATTCTGATGGCGACTAGGTGCCCAGGGCTCGGAATTCCTCAGGACCCTTCTCGCAGCTTGCTGCAAGACTCAGACTGAGGTTTCAGCCTTTTCGCCGGAGTTTTGAGTCTGAGACACTTAGAGCAGATCCAATGGTATCCGGCCTCTTACAGACATTCTTTCCAAGTAATGATTAGCAGTTTGACCCACACGGTCAGAACTCTAGATCGCATCATGTGTGCGTTTGCCCCGAAATTCTGGTGCTGAATTGCTGGGGGCTTGAGCCCCGCCCTTTTTTGTTACGCACAGCAACCCTTAGGAGGGAAAAACCCTCGCCTTTCACAGAATGGCAACCTGAAAATGGAATGCAAGCTGCTCGTGCCATCGCAGTGTTTGTGATGCAGAACACGAAAACGTCGACAGCTAATGATATGATTTACCGGCTCTCAAGTTCCATTGGCTGAAGCTCTGACACCCCGAGATGTGAGAGGCCAAGCATGCAAGCACGCAGGTGCGGAGCAAAGCTAGGAGCTAGGAAGGCTAGGAAGTAACCGCTTCAGAGCCGAGGTCGCAGGTACATCTCTCCGACAGTGTTTTCTGCCATAGGCACCGCTGGAAGGCGTGACTCGTCTTGCTGAAACATTTCCCACTTGCCAGAGCTCACCTTTGAAGGTTGGCCTTCTGCACATCATAGACGATGCCTGGAAAGCTCAGGCTCCCAGCTTGCCAATCGGAAGGAGGCGCACAAGTGATCTTTTCATGCGCAGAACGTCGCGCAGGCGCTGCCTGATGATGACTTGGTCCTGCCAGAAGGGCATCAGATCAACCTCGATGAGTCGGACGACAAAAGTCAAGAGATGGATGGACGGGCGGAAGAGAGATGGTGCGCGCTGCAAGAGAAACACAGAGTGCCAAATTCCAACTATCATTTTTGGTCGAGGTGCGAGCTGCCCTTGACGCACTTCCTAGAAGAGGAAGCAGAGGCCAGGGCCGTTTGTTGCCAGTGGCCCATAGATACCTCGCATGTGCTTAATGCATGTTTTGTTGTGCCTCATAAACGACATCCAAAGTGTGGGCGTTTGACTCTAAGTGGAGTGGGTTTTGTTGGAAAACAATAAGAGGACAATCTCGCCAAGCACGATAACTTCAACTTAAACCACGGCTTTGAAAGCGATATCGCACTCATCGGCTTTCCGATGACTACGAACCAAGATAAGAAACAACAAGCCGTACATAAGTTCTGCAGATCTGAATATGTGGCACAGTTTGGTGCGGCGTTGAGTGCTTTTAAGGTGGCTGTTGACCGGGGCGCCTCCAGTTTCTGATGGTCAACGTTTCACGAATGAGAAAGCAGCAGAGAGCCAAAAAAGAGCTGAGATCCCACGAACGCCGCCCCCTTGCCTCAGAATGCAGTGCTGCATAGCCGTCAATCAGCCGCCATATTGTTTGGCTGGACTGGCTCGTGTGAAGCCAAGATGCACAGGCCAGTCAGTGAATGGATCAGTCAGAACATTCCATTCCAACAAGTATCGGGTTAAAACAGATCGCTCCAGAGTTGCGTACCCGAGCGCTGGCAATTTGTTGCCGCTTGCCTCACATTGCGATTGCAGCAGTCAAAGCAACAAAGCAGAGAACCAAGCTAGTCGATCACAAGCCTTCATTTAACAATGAAGAATCTGAAGGCCATCAAGGCCAGATTGCCTTCATCATGTGTCGTTTTTCGCTTCGGGCGCACACTTGTCCCATCAACTCGTGACAGGCCAAGAATGCGGCGCGCGTTTTCAGAGCCCAAGTGTTGGCCCCGGGGTCGTTGCTAGTGGATCGCATCGCAGCTTCTGATGCTTCAACGACTTGTGCTTCAGGCGGAAGAGCGCCTCCGTCGGCAAGCTGCTGCGGCGGAGGCACAGAAGACCGAAACAATTTCATAGGCTGTCAAAGTTGCCAAGCTGGACTTCCACAACATAAACAGTAACTCCTCATAGAACATGGCCTCAGCATGCCCGACAAACTTGAGCATAGGTGTCACGCAATGGAGTTGCAGTCAGTTCTTGGGTACCTCCAGGTTCCTGGACATGCGGAACACTTAAAACATACCAGGATCATACCGCGCTCCCCCCAAAAGATCTTAGTATATCTTAGTGTTGAGTGTTGAGGGCTAGGGCCACGCATAGAAAACATGTCAGCCTGTTTTGCTTTACAGAAAAGTCTTGTCCACGGCGGTGGAAAAAGCGTGGTGGTCTTAAAAACGGTAGTGGTTGAAAGGCACTTCCCTGGGCGGAGGCAAGTTCCAGTAGCAGCTCCGCCGGCAGCTGCAATAATCCTGTTGCTCAGATGAACCAGCGGATATTTTATTATTATTTATTGATTTCCGCCTTTGCAACAGAATGGCGAAACCATGTTTTGTGTACCTCCGCCAGCTACATGCGTCGAGTCACGTTTGTTGTTACCTGGGCGTTACCTCCCGGAACCCCGATGTAGGAGACTAACAATACAGGTCATTTCTGCGCGAACAAACACATCAAACACACACGAAACAGTAGGAAACCAATGAAATTGTTTTGGATCGCAATCCCTCAAGTAAGGTAAAATCAGAATTGAACACTTGCCGGAATTGGGCTTCCCCCGTTTGGCGGAGCTTCGGAAGGGTGATTGTCCACAAGCTACAGGCAGGGATGACTGCAGTTGTTGCTTTGGCAACGATGAGAATGATGTACAACGACCCCAATTATGATAACAACAACCACTGATACGGCAATGAGGAGGAGTGTCGTAGTTGGTGGTAGTACTAGCTTCACGCAGATAGCACTATTGTTGTCATCATATTTGTCCTGTAAGTGCCTGGCTTCACGGTTGCCATCTTTCTCCTCAGGTTCTGTTGGGGGCAAAGGTCCCCGAGGCAAGGGATCAATCCCATGCGAGAAAACGTCCTCAAGTTTCACGTGAGTTTCTGCTGGCAAGAAATGTTGGTCAAGGACATTCATGGCTTCGTGTGCTGCAGGATTCCGCGTCTTTGCAGCATCGCGATATGGCTGCCAAGCATGAAGATGATGCGATGTCATCCCTCAGCTCGAATTCATGGCTGGAGGCAGTCACGTCGGAGCAACACACAAGCCCGAGGTGTTTGTGGCATGGTTGGAGTTTGTTCGAAACCTTGGGTAGGATCCGGCCGTGCAAGATGCAGGGCCTCCACCAGACGGAGGCCAGTCGTTGTTATAGGCAGGTCGTAAATGCTAGCGCGCGTCCGCCAAAGGCACACCAAGCTGCTGCAAGGTAGGATGCAGGCAATCCTCGTAGCACCCCCAACGCCCCCAACTAAGGAACCCTCGCGTGAGGTCTTCGAAAAACACTTCAGAATTCTCTTTCTAGGAACTTGGAAGCCCGAAAATGCCGCTTGACTATTCCCAGAGCACCCCTAATGGCCCTACCCATGTCAGGATTGTTCTGGTCAGTGGGAGCCTTACCGGGATGACTTAGACTTCGCCAAAAAAAACACGTCACTGTACAATGCTCCGCCGTCACAATAGTTGGAAACTTGATTCCCCAACGATACAGGGATGAAGGGTGCATGTATATACGTACCCCAAAATACCAATGATACCAATGGCCTCGTGCTTATATTTCGAATCGCAAGACCCTGAATTGGCTTCATGTTCTGAATGCCCGAGGTCGTGAAGCAAGCTCTAAAAGAGCTCTGCTGCTGCTCCTGATAACTTTTCCACCCGCGCTGAAAAATGCAGTAGGGCGACACCAAATCCAGTCACATGTCTGTCGTGTTACAGCAGCTTTGTTAGGCAGAGCTTTAATGCAGCCGCTGTGATTTTCTCGGCCCGAGCTCAGAGTGGTGAGTCAAGGTAGTGTTGGCGCCTTTGGCTGTGCCGACGTGCCCCCGGGTGCCAAATCTGAGTTATGGTTCCCAAGTACTTCTAGAATTCGATGTATGTATTGGCAAGCGCTCTTGATAGCGGTGGCCCACAGACATCCCGGCAATAGTTCTGAAACCCTGACATCTAGTTGCCATGTGACAATGTGGTTGTCAGCTCGCGTTTTCTTGAAGATGCTACAGTTGGGTTCGGATGAATTTGTGGACACGTGAAAGGCAGAGCGTGGCGGAGGAAAGCGCATCACAGTTTCAAGAATGTATGAGTTGCGTCAAATTTTGGCACGACGCCCTACCGCGCCGAAAGTCGCAACGCAGGTGAAGCAAGGCTTGCCTGGCAATCTCCAATGTTTTTCTCTCCACATGCTGCGCAGTCGCTTCAGGAGTGTGCAGCTTCAAAGCAGCGTGACTGGGCAGGAATCGCTTCAAGTTTTCTCCACCCTATGACGCCTCCTCCCCAGCAACCTTGCCAGTTCCCGGCCAGAGGGCTCCCCATCCCGCCAGGGCATTAAAGGGCTCCACACTACGGCCTCGGCCGCCGCCTTGCTAAGCACTCAGCGGCTCTCTATATTAGCTGCGGCTTGGCAGGTTTTGGAGGCCGAGTTGGAACAGTGTGGTGCCCGCGGAAACAAATTGGCGGAGGCTCCGAGAGTCGAGTGCTTAGAAAGTGTTCAGCAAGTTATCTGAAACGGAAAAAACCTCTCCATGATCAATCGTGTAAACCCGCGGGAGGGCATTTTACGGCACCAGCACGTCTACACATGAACTCCTCGTCACGACGAGAGACCTGAAAGCAAGATCCCCAGCTCATTAGCTGCACGCTTCCACGCTTGTGATCCGTTGCCTAAAAGTGCGCGCTAACCCTAGACGGCACAAAGGGCAGCAACGCGAAGTCTGCACCCAAACCATCTCAAACCTGAAAGTCATCATGGTTTGAACAGGTGTGCCATGGTGTGCCTTGGGAAATGGATGCTTTCGAACATGAACATTATCACTTTCATGGTTCGGGCATGTGTGCTCGGGCCAGTGGATGCTGTCGAGCATCAACATTATTGTAGTTTGGGCATGCGTGCTCTGGCAATTGGAAGCTCCAGGATGTACAGTATTATGATTTGGGCATGTGCACTCTGGGAATGGTATGCTCTCGAAAATGAACTTATTCTTGCGTGGGTCATGGTTTGGGCATGTATGGGCCACTTTGCTTGTGCGTGACTCGCTGACACATGTTGAGGGCATGGGTGAATGACAGGCATCGGAAATGGTGGAAGGAAGGACATGGGACAGCGCATTTTCCATCCGCAATGAGACATGATACTGAACAGGGTGGATGAAAACCATGTTCTGGTGAAACATCACTCACATATCCGTATCGCGCCATCCCACCCGTCACTCCACGCATCGGTAAGTCAGAAAGCCTAATTTGTACTTTACTTGTCAACTTGTAATCTAGCAGACTGGCGGCTTCAAAAGTGCGTGCAAAGCTGTCCTGATATGTTCTGATTACGGGCAAGATAATGAGTGTAGGATTTGCATGTCCAGCGTGTGGAAATTGCCCGGGGACAGCCATTTCAAGTCACTTCAGCACTTAACTTCTCTGAGCGCGGCACCCTAAATGAATTCCACCACTACCGCAGACAAGTAATTTTGACGCCAGCTCATATGTGAGTTGACTGGGGAAGGACAACGAGCAATCAGTGTCACCATGCTTATCATAGATATAGTATTGTCATTACGCCGCAGTTGTTTGCTGCTTCAATAAGATGAAATGCGCTCTTTGGCCAGCGAGTCATTCGCCAGGCAAACGGACCAGCGGCATGGCACCGGCCAGCAAACGTGGAGCCACTTACGGCTTTAGGGGATTTTAGGGGCGAGTCGTGAATCCATAGGAGCTGGTCGCTGTGGACAGCTACGCTGTGCTGAGATGCAGGCTGAGGATCGCTAAGAACCAATTGACAGCTTGAAAAGTAAGTGCATGTAGCGTGTGTGTGTGTGTGTGTGTGTGTTTGTGCACGGTAAGGCTGATCCGAGCTGGCTTTGCAGCAGCGTGTTTGTAGCGGCTTACTCATGTGCATGCAATGCTCAAGTGGCCACCGTACTGGTTGTGGCTTGCTTGACCGTGCGATTTGGGCTACATCTCTCATGTTTCTATTTAGTTTCACGTTTCTTGCAGATTGCTTCAGCAAAAAACCTGAGAGTGCATGGTGGAACAAATTCACATTTCCTGGTGGATGCGGTCGCTTTTGATGGGCAGGCCGCCAGCGCGAAAGTTATTGGATGAAGCCTCAAAATTTGCACAAACTCTGGTAAGGGGGGAGGGGGCAATCGACAGCTTCGCAGTTCCCTCATTTGTAGCAGTTTTTGGTCTTGGACTTCTGTGCCTGCAGTGCTCGGTGCTGGATGGCACGAGATATCAGCTGAGCGGATGCAGCTACCGAAGCGCGCCACCATTCCACTGTCCGCCGACTCCGGAGCAGAGCGCGAGCATGCGTTGGGACTGCTTTTCTGCGTAGGATAGCCGTTTGGGATGTCTCCAACTTCTTCTGGGCTGCCCAGTCGCCCGTACTCTGCTCAATGTGCAGCTGGCCTAGCACAATTTTGCCATACCACAGCCGGCACTGACAGGCCCAGGGCCCGTTTGAGACGGACGCTGAGCTCTGACATTGCTTTCTCCTTGGTGTCGGTGCCTTCAAGCTGCGTTGAGCCGCCAAGCTGTGTTGACAGAGCTCCACACCGTGGAGAGGTGCCAAACAAGTGCTCGACTACTGATCTCCGACATTGCAGATGACAGTGTGCTTTCGGGAAGTAACTCCCCGTTTACGCCTAAGACCACGCCAGCTCGGATGCCAAACTGCGTCAAAGTCAACTTGAAGAAGTTGCCCGGGCTCCAAGGTTGGCAAGTTTGCAAGGCTTTTGCCACACATCCTTTTCTGTGCAGGACCGTGACCCTGTGCAATTTGTTTGTTCTGCTTCCGGCCGTCGTGGCTTGCATAGCCGCACAGCATGAATGATCAGCTCGTGCTCTGCGCTTTGGCCACCGCGCTGTTCCCGCCTCGGTTGGGATATGCTTGCGTGCGCAGGCCAGGGCAGTAGACGGCGACTTCATTGCTGCACCTGTTTATCCAGCCGGTGCACAGATGCATCATCCGGGAAACCAGCAACAGGAAACATCGCACACAACACATAAGTCTGGAACAGGCTGCAGCTACATCCAACATTTTAGTCACGCTCTTCGGCCCACGCAATGGATTGGTGGAATTTGCGGGCACGCTTTTCAAGATGATGATCCGTCTGTGCTTGGAATACCGCACCTAGGTAGTACTAGGTAGCGGTAATCGGACACTATCGGAAGAGCCGGGCCTTGAAGTGCAAACTGGAAGTCCACCAACCTACTTGTAGTGCCAACCACTAGGACCGCGTTCTTCTCAGGCATCCAATCCCCAAGGAGAATCGCTGATGAGCACCTTGCACCGATTGCATCCACGGCGCGTTACAAGTCTCTCTGGTTATCAAGTAGAAATCACATGGTCATCCGCATATAACCGCAAGATCACCCGGGGGGATTGCACCCATGACCTAAAGATACACCCGGGCAGGCAGCACGCACTGCCGCAGAAATACCATCAAATAAAATGTTGAAATGCAATGAGCCAAGAACACTACCCTGGTACACGCCAGCAAGCTCCTCCCAAGGTCCGGAGAATGCCTAATTGCCCATAACATTTGCACGCGTGCCGGATACGAGGTCGTCCAAAACTTGCCCCATCGAACCTCTAATGCCCCGGCCATCAGCGGCTTTAGTCACACGAGCGCTGGGGGGCAGTGATGCGCCTAACGCCTAACGATATCTTTGTGTATGAAGGCAAAATAAGGCAAGCATGCAAGGTTTCAAAGAAGCGGGGGATCCCTGCAACTGGAGTTAGCGGACTGCTCACGGGAACCCATGCGGTTGCCAGAAAAGCACGCAGGTCTGGCGCTGCAACCAGGGCGTCGTGCTGACGTGTCCTGACAGTGCCCTCAGGCGCCGTTCTAGGTGCCGTTGTGCCGCTTCCTTTGCCTTGGGCGCCGGCGCTGCGCATTTTAGCAAGTGGGGCAGGCATGATGAGCTGGGCAACCACAGGTCGGCACGCGCCACTTCTACTCGCCTTTCATGCTTTGCTACGTGAGCGTGCCGTAGCACGGGTGTGCTGTGAGGTTGGGCTTCTGGTATGCCACAATGGGTTGGGTAGCTGACGGACTTGAATGTTGATGTCCCAGTGCACGACCCGCTTTATTGAATTTGTGGCAAGTTGCCACAGTGTCCCCTATGACAGAATCTGTCGTCAATGCCGCCTGCCACAGACGCCTACCCGGTCCCAGCAGCAGCGCTCGTCACCTGAAATGGCGCCTGCCGGCTGCCAACCCTGTTGGAACTCCAGAATTGAAGCCGTCTCGCTCGGCGACGCACCTGCGTGTTGTGAATCCGTGATGCGGGATGCAGTGGTTGCTCATGTGTGAGCCCCTCTCCAGCCGAGGCGGTCCCCTCGCCCCTCATTCTGTAAGAGCTCGCGTGCCTCCATGACTTCGCGTGCACACACCGGCTGGGCCGCCATTGCTCAATTTTGGGTGCCCCATGGGCGAACCAAGCACTGTGCATCTCTGGGACAGCTCGCTGCCTAACACCGCTATGCTAGGCTAGTGCCTCTTCGGATTGAATCATCCGGATTTAGTGTGTGTGTGTGTGTGTGTTTTTTTTCCTTCGCTTCGTCGATACCAAGAGACAGTTCCACATGAAGACATGCAGGATTTCCCCCGGATAGCCATTTCGGGCCATTTCACCTTCCGTTCAGGCGC